ACAACGCCCAAGTCTCGATCCGATCGTCGCCTCTCCCCCGAGGCTGAGTCGCTGCGCTCGACGAACTGAGGGCCCGGTGTAGTTCCCGTTCGAGCCCAAGGGCGCGAGTGGGCGGGCTCGCCTTTTTGAATTTTGGCGGGGCGGATCGTCCACAAGGCCCAACAGCTACTTTGACGTCTACCAGCGGCACTTTGTAGAGCTGGTTACCGGCCGGGATGCGGTCGATCGGTGGACTCCTTAGAGCACTTGGAGGAATTCATTTTTTCGACCGTCGGACTGGGATTCGAACTGGCGACCCAGTGTGGTTTAGTCTCTGGGGGGAGGCGGGGGCCCCCGGAGGCACCGTGCGCCGCGCCGCAGTGCGGAAACGGGGCTCCGGCTCTATTAGTCTCTATTAGCACCGACTTCCCGAATGGTTACGGTTGGTAAGAGGGCAGATTTGGAGAGATCTCGAGGAGTACATACAGATAGACCCTCCAACCATCAGAAACCTCCAACCTGATCGGTCGTACTGACCGCCGACAGATCACTCCAGACAGCAGACAGGCCGACGTCTACACGCGGCCGGCCGGGCGAGAGGCTTGACACGATCCGACCCTGCGACCCTGATGCTGCTGCTCTAGCTATCAGGCATGCGCTGCTGACTGCTGCCACAATGTGCGACGGTGCTGACCCACTTGGCGGCCTTCCCGGTCAGTGGTGAGGCGCAGTTCAGAGCTGTCGATGGCGCGATGCCGCACTGGTCCCACATCGGTGACACGAGACCACCACGTTTGCCGGTCCAAGAGAGAGGCACCGGCGCTGTCCTGAGAAGGTGCATGGTCCCTCTTGACTGCCCATGCGCGCGAGGCTGTGTAGGCATAGCCTCGAGAGTGCCAGCAGCCAATCCGAGGCAGTTTGTGACGCGCATTGCGTCAGAAGCGTGCACGCGCTGGAAGGACACCTTCCTACTGGCCGTACGATCAGGTCGTCACTGAATGCCGAAGACTAAGGCCGCGAGCTATGCAGGCGGTCAGTTGAGCAGCATGGCACGGTCAGCAGCGCCGAAAGGATGTCGCAAGGCGTGATAGCATGGCCCAAGTACGCCGAATTCCCATGAAAAAACAAGTAAAGATCGCGCGAAAAAAGAAAACATGGCAAAAAATCGGCGCCTGCGGCGGGCTGGTGGACCCCATCTCCCCCCCGCATGGGTACCCCCTTAGGGCCCTCGCCTCCCCCCAGAGGGTTTAGTGGGAAATGATATACCGTCGCCAACTGCAGCGGGACAGTATTCAGTAACCCGTTCCACGTGCAGACGAGAACTGCACGCAAAGAAGCGCATGTTTTTTGCATCGACGCGACGACCGGACAGCAGGGACGACGGAGGGCACACCCGCACAGCCACACCAGCACTGGCTTTACTACAAAGGTCACTCAACCCGCCACTGTGCGCTCTCACAGAGTCCGTCCGGCCAAGGCCCGCCCCCCAGCCGGCGCTCTCCGGGCGACGCTCACAAGGCGCGACGCTTACAAGGCGCCGAGGCCGACGACGGCGCCGCCCGCGAGGCCGATCGACCCGCCGACGACGGCGCCGACGATGCCCATCGCGGTGCCCTTGGCCTGTGGCGGGCAGCGAGTGCGGGTCAGGGGGCGGCGAGCGCGGAGGCGAGGGCAGCGGCTCTCGAAGCAGCGGAGGGATGCTGCGGGGAGCAGAGAGGGCAGGGCTCTGGGCGCCTTGCCGCCAGCGCCCTTGCCGCCCGCCGCCGAGAGGGCCGGGCCGAGCACGATGGCGCCGCCGATCAGGCCGAGGCCAGCGCCCGCAACGGCGGAGCCGGAGGCGAGCGTCGCGTCCGCGAGCAGCGTCGAGGTCTGCAGCGCCGGCATCACATCCGCCAGCTGCTCCGGGGCCATCATGGTGGCGCCGACCGGCTTGACGACGGCCGGGCGGTGCAGGGGAGCTGCGCCGATGGTGAGGGCGTTGGCCGAGGGCGCAAAGATGGCAAGCATGTCTTCGGAGCGGCTGCAGACACGGGTGGCGAGAAGGGAGGTGGGCCAAGAGTGGAGAGCGCGCGATAGCCTCGGCACTGCTTGTGCGCGCGCGGGCGGGAGAGAGAGCGAAAATTGGGCGGCCAGGCGGGGAGGCGTCGCACCGCAGCGGTGTGTGGGTGCGGGCGGGGCCGCAACTTTTTTCGCGAGGCGGGGAGCGAGGGGCGACAGAGCATCTATCTTATCTGCGAACCTCGGAGAGGGAGGGAGATGCTCAGGCCTGAAGAGAGAAAACGGATTTCCGTGCTTTGCGGTGAGACGGGCGCGTGGTGAGCCATCCCGGCTCGCGAAAGGTCGCTCGAACCAGCAGCTGCTCGCCGCCATGCTGCGCCATGGACAACTCCTCCTCATACCAAAGGCGCATCCCGCGCGGCATCGGCGCGGCCCATATCTGCAGCGTGTCGCCCTCCATCGTGAGCACCTGCCGACGTGTTGAATGTTCAATGTTCGACGCGCGAGACTCAATGCTCAATCCTCAATGTTCAATGCTCAATGTCAACATCGCTCTGCATCGTGAGCGCTGCCGACTGCGGACTGGTTCCACTCAGCTGCAACGGGTTCAACTGAACTCAACTCCGACGGGTCCAAAGGCAAAGCGCCGACGTCAAGGCAGAGCGCGCAGCGGCAGCGGCCTCGCTGCCACCGCCGCGGCGAGCTGCCAGCAGCTGGCCAGCAGCAGGGACGGCCAGCAGCAGGGACGGCCAGCAGCAGGGACGGCCAGCAGCAGGGACGGCCAGCAGCAGGGACGGCCAGCAGCAGGGACGGGTGGCGCGCCATGGGTGGCGCGCCCAACGCAACCGAACTGGTTATTCTAGCCCTGTCGGTGGATTCACACCGGCCAGGAGCGGGAGCGCCAGAGAGAAGGCAAAAGGCATGACAAGCAAAGACTCTCTAACGCCGCGGGCGGTCAAAAGAGACCGACGGACCTTGAATTTCGGCGGACGCCGAAATTCACACTAGACTGTGAACACACCCACAGGACGCCAAGTACAAGACAATAGGGAGGGAGTGTACTCAGGCAGTCAGGGACGGATGAGTCAGAACATACTAAGAGCACCTAAAGGAGCAAGGCATACAGCTGTGAACGAGCGCCGTCGACCGCACCGACTACGGCACAGCCTCCGGCAGCGCCCGGGGCTTCGCCCAACACCACTCGCAACAGCTCTCGCGCGCCGCCGTCAGTGGCGATGCGCAAAAATCAACAACGCTGCTCGCAACATGCGTGTCGCGCACTCATTCATGACCGGTCTCAATGCCCCACCCCCCTGCGCGCGGGCCTTCTAAGCCCGCGGGTAGTCCCCCCCCATCCCCAGGGCCTCCAGGGCTCGCACCTCAACCTCTCACAGGCCAGCGCACAGCGCCATAGCACTTGGAGCACTTGGAGTGCAGTCATTAACCTCACATCCAGGGCCGGGGAGCTCAGAAGCGCACCCAGCGGGCCGGATGATCGGGATCGGGTTACGGGCTAGAGAGCCCTAGCCCCGGGGGTGCGCGTTCGCAGGGCAAGGGCCTTAAAGTAAACACGGGTCTCCGAGGGTTAGCCCCGCGTACCGGGTTTCCCCTTAACTGCAGGACGCCCCCTCTACTCGGAGCTAATGAACACCATACTGCACGCCCCACACCACCACTCTACACTCACTTGCGTCGGCGTCTGAGTACGTATTTT